TGCCCATGAATGTGATACTTTTCGTGCATATGCAATGTAAGGTACAATTGGATTTCATATCATTATGCAACCAAGATTTCAATTGCAATTACAACATCACGTTCAACATGTCATGAGCAAAATATGAACAATTCCAATTCGTTCATGTAACTTATATCATGAAGCATATAATTACATTCCAACCTCCTCACATTCCCAAATTGTTAATTATATCAAAAGCATATAATTATAATCTATATTCTCACCAAGCATGTTACAACATTTTCAATGAAACACACATGCATCAAAATAGGCATTTTATGAAACACCCAAAAGGCACAAAATCATGTAATACAATCATGCCCAATTTATCACATTTCTCATGAATTTACCAAAAAAGAAAATTCCACAAACCCGATTCATGCAAGATTGGTTTAGCACATTTCTATAGCTATTTCTCATACTCTAGTTACACTAGGAGTACATTAAACAAGAGAATTCATTTATAATCAAACTACCCATTTTATATGCAACCCTGGGTTGAAAATAAACCTAACTAGGAGAAGAACCCTACCTCTTGAAACGTAATACGAATGGTAGAAGCTCCAAGAAACCCCAACTCAAGCTTTAGAATTTGATTTCCAAAAATCTTGTTCTTGAGATTTTATCAAAATTTGTACTTTTTGGTACATAGATGTAGCTCTCGTCGCATAATCAACTTTGGTTCTTGGCCCGAATGATTTCGATGAACGAATCACTTTAGATTGCAAGATGAAGATGGAAAAACCATTGAATTTCTCTCTTATTATCTCTCTCTCTATCAGAAAATCTACTAGGTAATGTTGAGAAAATTGGATTTTTCTCCTTTATTTATATTCCTTGGATACTTGGCTCACAACGCACCACACGTCCCGTCTTTTCTTATTCTGATTTTTGTCCAAATCAATTAAATCTCATTTCTTTTTAAGTTTAATGTATTTTATTTGAAATAAATTTAAATTATTTTCCATGTTTCGTAATTTATTTTTGGTCTAGTTTATTTTGGTCACGCGACACCTAATCACCTCGTAAAATGTAAAAAATCCGGTTGTCTCAGAATTAAACAAAAATTTACTAGGTAACTAGATTTTGCGAGACGAATTCAAAGGTGAGGTCCATTTAGTCATCCGAGTTTGAGAAAAATTTAGGTTTTTAACTCATACCGTAGCGACTAATTACCATTTTGCCCTTTTTTCACAAAAATTTAAAATTTCTCGAGTTTTACATGTTATGTTCATGACGAAGAATTTTAGATAGTTAGATTGTAACCCAGGTTTGGGAGGATTTTGTGGACCTCCATTTGCTACCCCCATTTTGAACATGAATGATTTATTTGTGGATGTCATGAGAATGGATGTATATAGTTGATATAATGTGAATGACTAGTTAGGTATAATTATTATGTTTAATGCTCTCATAGATAGCTCTCACCAACTATCTGGATGCCCGATTTTCAAAGAAAACTCTATTAAAATTTTTTTAAAAATAATTTATTTAAACTAAAAAGATACTTTCCTAGATGTTTTTACAACAAATCGGCATGTGTGTTTTGGAATAAACAAAGTATTTGTTTTAATCACGCTTTTATGAAATTTGGGGCGTGATCGTATCTTGGTTTCCAGTGTGGGGTATGCAACTCAAATTAAAGCCATCAAACAAGTAACTGGTAAATTAAAATTAGAACTGACACAATTCACAGAATTAGAAACCTTTGCGCAATTTTCTTCTAATTTTGAAAAACCTACTCAGAATCAATTTGGCAAGAGGTCAACAATTACGTGAATTGTTCAAACAATCTCAATCATCCCCTCTTACGATGGAAGAAGAGATAATGAGTATTTATACAGGAACAAATTGTTGTCTTGATTTATTAGAAATTGGATAGGATAGGTAAGAAAATTTTCTTGTTGAGTTACGTACTTACTTAAAAAGTTATATACCTCAGTTCCAAGAAATCATATCTTCTACCAAGACATTCATCGAGGAAGTAGAAGCCCTTTTGAAAGAAGCTATTCGGGAACAACTGGAACGTCTTTTTATGCTTCAGGAATAAGCATAAAGAAATTGATCACTTTTATCAATTGTTTAACAATAAAAGGGGAACAAGTGTTTTCAATTCAAATCCTTCAAAATATGTCTTTATTAATAGTTGAGATCATATATATATATATATATATATATATATATTGCGTCAAATAGGACTTGCACCTAAACCAAAGTTTTAGAAGATCTTTGTCTTATCCATTAGATAATGGATGCTTTTCATTTTGATTTTTTTTTTTTTGGTATTTTTACTTTACTACACACAACCCCTTATTTGAAAAAAAATCAGATTTATATGAGAGAACTTTGGGAATTGGATTTTCAATGGTGAATGAATAGAATTAATTCACACATGAATAGATAATTCTAATTGAATTATACTATAAATTATAGAATAGAAATAGTATAATTTTATATAAATAAAGTATATATAGTCCTAAGGATGTAGTGTTAAACCCGCGTAAATTTGAACTTTTTATGAGAAATTGGTAAAACGGCAAATAATCACTATGATGCGGGTTGAGAACTCTTATTTTTTTAGAGCTCGGATAATAAAACTGACCTCATCGTTGAATTCGTCTCGCAAAATCTAGTTACGCATACAAATTTTGTCAGATTTCAAATGGAAAAATAATTTAAAGAAAGTTCATATAAAATATTTTGAGCTTGAACCGGTACGAAATTTAATCTTTTGGGGGCAAAAACGGACCCGGGAATAGGGGACGTGTGGCGCGATGTGGACCAAGCATTAAATTGTATAAATAAGAACAAAAATCTAATTTTTTTAGACACATCTCTACTGGGTTTCTGCTAGGTTCAAGTTGGCAGAGAAAGATAAGGAAAAAGAAAGATTTCAAGACTTCTTTCTCAGATCTACGAAATTCCGCCAGTCGGAATTATTTGGGTCAAGTATTAAAGTCAATCTACACAATGACGGCTACACAACCACACCAAAAAAAAAAAGAATTTCACCAATGATTCAAAGACGGAATTTTGGAGAAAGTTTGGTTTTGGGCAAGGTTTAGGTTCTTTGAACTTCCTAGTATTGTTTTACGTTTCAAGAGGTACTTAGGTTTATTTTCAACCTAAGATGATTGTATGAAATGAGTAGGTTGTTAGATTTGATTTAACAAATGTCTATTGTATTTGAAATGTTGAAAATGGGTAGAATAAATTCTATCTTGACTTGAATACATAGGAATTGCTAAATTATGATTTCTTGGAATTTTGATAATTGGGTATGTGAAAATTACTAAATGTGATTTTTTTTTATTTATGTGATAATTATGGGCATTTTTATATGATAGCATGATTTGGTGCCTTGAAGGTGTTTGACAAAATGCCTATGTGAAAGTTAAGTGTGTTATTGCATAGATTATGTATGACATGCTTAGGAAAAATAATTGTTAAATGTGAATGTTGGTGTATGCTTATGATATATATTGGCATTGTGATGACTTTGTGGAAGTCATATGCTTTGGATATAATTTATCAGACATGAGTGTGAATGTGTGTGCATGATTGATCAAACATCATTCAATGTGGATGATATTTGGGCTCGGGGAAAGTTAGATCGAAAATTCGACTGAGTCGCATAATTTGTATGAAAAACTTATGTCGGGTATAGCAAGTAGGGTTTGATTCTCCGCCGGATGCAAGACCCGATTATTTGGTTCATACATGCCCATGTGGTGTAATTCCAAAACAGTGTATCAGTGTGCAGAACCGGCGGTGAGACACCAAAATTCTGTTATCTAACAAAAACATATGATTTTATTTTATAAATAGTCATTCGATGTGTAACATCCAACAAAGATACATGATTTTGTTTTAAAATAAAGAAACGTTACAGAATAAGGAGAGGCATTTTTCATTTTGCATCAAATTATTTGAAGGGCATTAGGTGGTCTTTTCCATCATCTATATTTTTGAAGCACAAGTAATCCCCCAGGCCCATACCATCAGTTGAAATGTATCATTTTGTTCTCAAATTATGAATTGTCACAGCATTATTTGATAGTGATATGTTCACAACCATATATAAGTGGTTCAAAATGGCGGGGCTGTCGCTGCCAAAAGAAGTTGTTTTAATGTGATAAGTCCTTGTGAGATGTGAACTTGGAATGTTGTTATGTTATTGATTGCCCTTGAATTGTTTGGTGTGATGCGATTAATTTAGGGTTCCGTAATTGGAGAGTGATCTGTTTGTTTCTAGAATAAGAGGGTGAGATTGAATTAATTTTATCCTCGATCTCACTTAGATGGTATGGGTACCGGAATGAGATAAATTTGAAGTCCATGTCCGAGGCCAAGACGAATAGTGAACTTACCTTTTAAAACATGGGGTCTATGACTAGCAAAAAAATTAAAAAAAAATGATAGTAATTTACAATTCAAAGTACCAATTTATTAGGATAAAAAATATAATTTAACTTGAGATGTAAAGTCGAATAAGGTTCATGATTTTGAATTGGTAAGCATGGCATGACCATTCAATCCTAGAATTACTTACCAAGGTTTAAATTACAATTCAATGAGGTCCAAATATTTCAAATCGATCTCAATTACATTTGAGTTATAACCTGGCCCATTTGAGTCGACCTCATTGGGCTGTAACTTTTTCGTACAATATCAAAAAAAAAATCCCCCAAACAAGACAAATGAGCACAGACCTCATCAAGGTCAGCAATGCATCCATTTTCTGATGCAATTACACTATAGTAGCTTATTTGGAGCATTTCTGAGGTAAACAGCCCTATATACCTACAGTTGATCAGAACTATTCCTCTGTACTGGACATAAATCACAAGGTAATTCACTTTCGATCATGATTCAAGTAATTCATACAGCACACCCACATTGCAATTTAATCAGGCAATGGTACAGAGATTGGCAAACGATTTTCACAACCACACTGCAATTTAATCCGGCAATATTATGGAAAATTAGCAGTCATTTTCAGAAATGAATGGATAAAACAGAAGGAACCATAAAATCAACAAGGGGCCAAAAGGCAAGCAAAATTCTCATTTGAGGATTCATTCAGCATTGCAATGACAAACAATTAAAACCTTGTCCGGGGGAGGGGTTGGCCCCCTAAAGTTCCCACTATTATAGATACTTATCAGGACACTTATATCCCCTAATATCCTAATAAAAATTTGGAAGCAGCTAAAAAATAACCCCCAGCATCAAATCCAATGCCAACAAAATATTCCTTTACACATTTAAGACTATAAGCCAAAAAGAGGAAATGAGGTTACTGGCCCTCTCCTGTTCTCACTTGCTGTCGGTGAAATCAGCATCAATCACGTCTCCATCTGGGCCCTTGCTTGATGATTCCGAAGGCCCAGCTCCGCTGCCAGGAGGGGAGTCGGTACCAGGCGCTGCACCTGACTGGTTGTAGAGTGACTGGCCAAGCTGCATAACTTCCTGGTTGAGAGCAGCCATGGCATCCTTTATGGCCTGGGTTGAGCCCCCTGAGATTGCATCCTTGAGCTCTCCAAGTTTTGCCTCAACCTTCTCTTTCACTGGGCCTGGAACCTTGTCTCCCAGTTCCTTCAGCTGCTTCTCTGTCTGATAGACAACTGAATCTGCTTGGTTCTTGGTGTCAATAGCATCTCTCTTTTCCTTGTCTTCCTTTGCAAATCTTTCGGCTTCGTTAACCATCCTCTCTACCTGCATATTTCCGTTTAGGCAGATTCTCAGTATCAGTATGCTATGAGTCAGTCTGGCTCGCGAAAAGTAATTTTTGTCTACTTCTCATGAAATTTCATTCAACAGTTGAAGTAAACCCCATTGTTTTGTGTCATGGGGGATAACATAACAGTCTAACAGCGGCCACTGAAGACACGTTAGAACATGTCTAATGAAATCTTGCTCTTTCCACCTATGTTAAATATGTTTGGGACCCGTGCAATGGTAAGAATCTCCTATAGATTCACTCATTTTTTACACAGTTTTGCTCTTGTAAAGGAGTCGTAGCGGGGGTTATTCCTCTAATGGATTTTGAGGATGCATATCATGGACATTTCCTATACATTAACGAAATTTACCTATAAAAGAATCAATAAACAAGGATTAATTACAGCCAAAACCCCCGAGCTTTATTCCTAAATCACATGGCTAAATCAAACGGGTCCCCCTCAGGTATGAAAAATAACATTACCACCCCTTGTCAGTAATGCCCGGGAGACGAAGCCACAAACCCCCATCAGCAGAACACCAACCATACAGCAGCAAAGCAAACAAGTTTTATCTCATCCAACCAACACTACCCATCTGCAATTTTTGAATACACCAATACCATTGCTACAATCATTCTAACAACAGTTTCCATTATTTCCAATTACTTGCGGTTCTTGTATTAGGGTAACCAAACAGAAATGGCTCAAGAGTGATCCTTTTTTTTGAGTTAAAAGTGCAAAAAACTGGTAGCAAGATGAATGCTGAATTCACATGCTTTATCAATCAGTATGAAGACAAATTTTACATGACAACATACCTCATCACCAGGCAGCGTGCTAGCACCAGTAATGGTTATATCTTGCTTCTTCCCAGTGCCTTTATCAACAGCAGTGACAGAGAGAATGCCATTTGCATCAATATCAAATTTGACCTCAATTTGAGGTACTCCACGTGGTGCCGGTGGGATACCATCCAGGCGGAAGCTTCCAAGAGATTTGTTGTCCCTAACAAATTCTCTCTCACCTTGAAGGACATTAATCTCTACACTTGTCTGTCCATCGGCGGCTGTTGAGAATACTTCTGACTTTGAGGTGGGCAAGGTTGTGTTTCTAGGGATGATCTTTGTCATAACACCACCAAGAGTTTCCAGCCCTATAGACAGCGGTGTCACATCCAAAAGGACAATATCACTGACATCCCCAGCCAAAACACCAGCCTAAAACAGAACCAATGAGTACATGGAAGATCATTATTTCAACAAAGTAGAATATACGAGCATGCATAGCCAGTTAGTGAAACTTGAAGTACGACAGTAGTATATCCGAGTCTTCTTCCATCAATGGGTTATCAACTATGATAATAGGAGAGAACGCAAGATTTCTGAGTGATAAATACAACATGAAAAAAGATACTACAACCCACCTGAACAGCAGCTCCAAGTGCAACAACTTCGTCAGGATTGACAGTAACATTAGGTGCTTTCCCAGTCATTTTATTAACAAGTTCCTGAACAGCAGGTATACGTGTTGATCCACCAACAAGGATCACTTCATCAAGATCACTGAATGACAGTTTTGCATCCCTCAAGGCATTTTGAACTGGTGTTTTAAGCCTAACATGGGAGAAAAAAACATAAAAAATTATACACTAATTGCCTTCACAATAATGTTAGAATCAACTGAAAAATTAACAATAATAGACATCACAAAAATCGTTTATGTTCCCAATGCAGACAAATTCAAGCACCAGCAAGCAACAAATTGGGACATGCAACCAAGCAGCTACTTTGCACCATGTTTTAAATAAGATCAGGTACCTGTCAAGCAGATCTGAACATAGTTCCTCAAATTTTGCCCGCGTAAGGGTCGTTTCAATGTGTTTAGGGCCATCAGCAGTGGCTGTAATGAAAGGCAAGCTGGGAAAGGAGAAATCAGGAACAATGTAACCAAACATACAGAGAAAAAGAGAGCGAGCAGTCAACGTTAAGCTCTAAGACAATGCACACCTAATATTTGCTTGTGTCAAAGATGACAGTTCCATTTTGGCTTTCTCTGCTGTTTCAGTCAGACGCTGAAGAGCTTGTTTGTCCTTCAAAAGATCAATGCCCTCATCTTTTTTGAAATCTTTAGCAAGCCAGTCGACAATTCTCTGCATGATGTATTTAAGAGATGAATAACTTCACCAATAACAAATCACATATTGATGGTGGGACGAAAAAATGTTGTGAACCTTGTCAAAGTCGTCACCACCCAGATGTGTATCTCCGGAGGTAGAAAGCACCTCAAACACTCCGTCACCAACCTCCAGAACTGCAATTAAAAGAATGACAAAGAAAATAATTGCAAACTTGCTCTGACACCAAAATGCACAGGCAGTCCTCTCAGAAGAATTACAATCATCATTCAAAAACTAATAAGCACATAGTCACAGTTTCCCACAGTTTAAAATGTCACTCATTTAGCACTTCATGCTCAGTTGTACTAAAGACTAAATGGTAAGAAAGTTACACATCAGGTACACAAACCAGGCATAAAAAGTGATAGTACAACATCATTCAGTGCAATGTAAGAGAAAACTGGGGTTAAAAACAAGCTGAGCTGAGTCAAAAACAGTTTTGTTCAAGCTCAGGCTAGGTTGCCCTTATGTCTTCTTCAGCCTTGGCTCAGGCTTTGACTAGACTTGAATTCGAGCCCAACTTGCCTTGTTCTCAAGTAGCTCAAGCTTGGCTCACAGGCAAAATGTAAACACCTGATTAGAAGGTTCCAACAAAGACTTGGTTATCACTGCTAGTAAAAAGTACCTTCACTTTGTTACTAGCTAGTAGTGTTTCAAAACAACAATGGAAGGAAGGTTTCTAACAGTACTTGACATGTCAAATAATAGTGATGTCACATGCCAAAGACTTTAGCCCACTGAAATTACATTGTTGCAGTCCAATTAACTGCTATTCTAGACTTAGCTGCTTAATCTAGGTAGTATTTTTCATATGGATGTGAAACGAGCTGAACTTGTAAGACAATACAAACCTAATTACATGATATTCAAGGCTTCAAGCTTGGATTGTTGAGAAACCAAGCTTGAAATCATATCAAGATCGGTTTCATTCAACTAACAAACATAATGAGCGATTGAGCATGCCCTTAAGCCAGCTGAGGATGAGCTTGCTTGATACCCACCCACCCCCCCCCCCCACCCAAAAAATAAAAAATTACAAGGTAGATTTAGAACAAAAAATTACACAAATCATATACTAAGATTTAAGCAGGCGAGCTGTCTCTGACATTAGAGAAAGACAGGGGATGAGGGTTGAGGACATGGGGAAGGAGAAGGTGGTGTAAAATTAGTCAAATTCAATAGGGCAAAAATAAGAAAATGTTAATAACTTAGTCAGGGTTGCTAGATGAAAACTGTGGTAGTATTAGCTGCAACCACTAATCCCTGAATTAGGGTCTAATTAATAAACATATGAGTAAGATAAACACTTGGTGAGGTTAACCCAGTTCTCCAATTCAGAAAAATTTCATGAGGTGCAGTCACACACCCACACAGAGGGAGAGAGAGAGAGAGAGAGAGAGAGAACAATAAGCGAATCAAAAGCAGAATTTGCAACTCTGGTGTCAACGTAATAAGTAAATAGCAAATACAGTATTCCTTAGGTAATAAAAAATGGCGAATAGACAAATTCCAAACCCTGGTAAAGAACACCAACACACAATGATATGATTATGATACTAGGTTATATCTATTGAAAATCCAACATAAATCAGTAAAATAGCCATATGAAATAAATTTCTAGGAAATACCCAAACTACTGCTGAAACAAAAGAGGATGTTGTAAAGTTGTGAGTTTGTCCTGGTACCTGAGACGTCAAAAGTACCACCTCCCAGGTCAAAAACTAAAATGGTTTCATTGTTCTTCTTTTCGAAACCATAAGCCAATGAGGCAGCAGTTGGTTCATTGATAATTCGAAGAACTTCCAACCCAGCAATACGACCAGCATCCTTTGTTGCTGTCCTCTGAGAGTCATTAAAGTATGCAGGAACTGTGACGACAGCCTTAGTAACTTTATCATTCAAAAACTTTGATGCATCATCCACCAACTTTCTCAAGACCTAAACAAGCACAAACAAAAAGAAAATTTAGAGACTATTTGATAACAAGGAAACCGAATCCCACAGACAAAAAGTTATTCTTCACTGTCCCAAACTACCATATTTATTGGTTAACCAAACAAAACATTTTGAAAATTCAAGAAAACCATAATACAGTACAACCACCTCAAATAGCACAAATACAAAATGCATCACTTAAACAAAGCCATAGAAACTTTCTTCCATGAAGTTCAAAAACATTACCAATGGCTTTGTATTCGTCATCACACTTTATTTCACACGAAGCTATTCTAACTCTTAATTTTATCCTAGAAACATTCCAATTATGCCACAATTACTCCAATAACAGGGAGTCCACAAAGCCCAAATTTGCCAATTGCAACCAGGAAACAAATCGCCAGCAACAAGGACATGTGCTTTGTTGTTCTGTGATTCCAAAACAAGATATATCCTTAGATACCTGACAACTTGCCAACACTAGCACATACATACAACATTAACACCAAGCGGCCTCAGTGTAACCTTAAATTCCCTCAAGCATCACGTCCTTACTGTCTCCACTTGGCATAAACTACTCTAACATTATGATTCATATAAATGCACTCAAAACCAACATAATCGACACAACAAATATTTTATGCAAAGCAAAAAAAATAATTACAATCCTCAATATATAAGTTAATTGAAATGAGGACTGAACTTATACCTGAGCTGAAATTTCTTCGGCAGCAAACTGCTTTCCAATAGCCGGACACTCGAGCTTAACATTCCCATTCTCGTCTCGGACCACATTGTATGACACCTGCTTCGACTCCTCATCCACTTCAGCCATTTTCCTCCCAATGAACCTCTTCACTGAGAAGAATGTGTTCTCGGGGTTCACCACCGCCTGCCTCTTGGCGATCTGCCCCACCAACCGGTCACCGTTCTTCGTATACGCCACCACTGACGGCGTCGTCCTCTGCCCTTCCACATTGGTCACAATAGTCGGCTTACCTGAAACTCATTTCTATTTAAATTAACTTTACATATTCAATCTTTCCTATATATAACTGCAGTATATATAATGTGTAGCTTGCCTCCTTCCATGGCTGCTACGGCGGAGTTGGTGGTGCCGAGATCGATTCCGACCACCTTCTCAGCTACGACTCGAAACGGTTTCGTACTATAACCTCTTCTAGTACGATTGTTTTTCTTTAACGTCAAAAAGGCAGACTTGGGAAGTCCAAACGACACAGTGTTGTTCAGTCCCTGACCAAAGAACACAGTTTTCGAGCATTTGCCACCATTCGAGCCCTTCGAAGAAGACAAAGGAGTAGCTCCGAGAACGTGAATTTGAGCAGCAGCTGACGCCATTTTCGTCTATAAAGAAACGTATGTGTAACTCAAGAATTACAATGCGTATTTGTTGTCTAAATACACTTCGTGGCTTGACGACGCAAACCCTAACCCTAGAAATTTGGGGGCCGAAGAGGTTAAGGACGGAGGGGCTGATGCAGTGATTTGGAGGAGATGGGGGTAGATAAGAAAGAGAGAGAGAGAGTTAGAGTTGGAAGGTTCTAGAAAGAGCTGGGTAGGTGGCCGCCTGATTGATCACGAGGTTGGGCTGGCCGGACGTGAAAAGCGAGGTTCTTGTCTCATTGGGTTTTCTGGGACGGAGAATAGGCCCGATTAGAGATGGGCAACAGCTTTTCAGGCCCACAACAACCCAGTTACCGAGTAAATTTCTAATGCCTCATAAGGAAATTTACTCTAAGGCCGCCGGTTATTATTTTTTTGATAAAATTATAACTCATAAGAACAAAATTACAACTGTTCAAACGGGATTATGATCGATCACAGATATATATGATCGATCATGAATTTTCCCTAAACAGTTGTAACTTCTCCTTTATAAAATTATAACTTGACTTTTAAAAATTGTAACTCATTATCAAATATAGTACGAATATATTTGACTTATAAAACTCTACCTTCTTAAAAATAACACTCCGTAGGGCAACAAACTTCAACTTCAAGAAAGGCGTTTATTGACGTATCAATAGTGACAAATCATTTTTAGACTTATGGTATATCAATCCTTAGCCTAGATCTTATGTAAACGAATAGTAGTTTAGTCCTCGTAAGACATCACTCCCACTACGAGTGATATTTGAACCCCTCAAGATAAAAAAACACGTCTGAACACTCTACAATATAGATTTGCATGTAACCCTAGTCCATCAATCCTATCACAATAAAGATACTTTCAAAAACAATTCATGTTTCCCAACATTCAAAAATTCAACAATTCTCAAAGTACAAAAATAATTCAATAGAAACATGGAAGAAATTGTAAAAGAAAGTATTCAAGTTGACAATAATTAAGAATATATGGTTTTATCAATAACATACAATTTTATGATGTAAAATATGTAATTTTTTCAAGAAACGAATCATCTTATAAAAAAGTGTAAAAACATTATAGATCTATTACATACAATTGAATAAGAATCAAAAGATACATATATGTAACCCTAATCCTCAATGAATGAGTTTGAGAAAGCACCTTTATATTAATCCAAAGTTAATCGATCCTAAAGTGTTTTGATGCAATTCTTATGCGTTAATCTTCCAAGATATTACCCCGTTTTCTTCCATCCCAACTTCTATTAGTTTCATAGGGTTGAAAATCGTATATAAGAACAGTAAAACACGGCCCAAACGTATATTTAGTGTCAAAAAAGAAGAAAATCCAAAAAATTGATCGTTGCTATTTTTAGCGAGACATCCGAACGATTCTGAGTGCGTCTGGATGCTACCAACTCTCTATTTCTCCTTTATTCTACTAAAACGCAAAATTTTATTTTCGGGACAAGCTTCCGAACGGTGCATGGCTAAATATCATAACTGGTCCTTGAACTTTGCCTCTAATTTTTATTTGGTCCTTGAATTTTCAATTTAATTTCTCAATTATCAATTTTGTCTCAATTACATCATTCAAATTTCAATCTATTTCTACTATTGGATCAACCAAAGACTAGTTTAATTTGATTCATTTCAGCGTTGAGCTAACGGTGGAAATGGAATGAATGACTTAATTGAAACAAAATTGATAATTGATGAACTAAATTGGGACAACTAAAAGTTCAGAGACCAAATTAAAATTAAAGGCAAAGTTCAGGAACCAACTGTGATATTTATCCGCTTTTTTTTAATAGAAGATATTCTTCGCAATGTAAGACATCATAATCATGTTTGGATGGTGGATGAGGGGGTATTCGATTGCATTTTTTATCCCTTCAAATCCCACCTTGTTGGAATGGTAACATTTTCATGGTTTTCTATCCGAAAACTCATGTTTGGTAAACCGACATAAGTAGGGGTGACAATTGTATGAATTTAGACGAGTTCGTATCCAAAATTACTCAACTTGTACACAACTTATTTATTAAAAAGGATAAAAATTATAAAAATTGAACACTGCCCACTTATTTGACGGGTTATTTGACACGACTCGTGTGACTTGTCAACTAAGTGAAGAGTTTGAACTGTTTATTCTGTTTTTTTATCTGCAACGCTCTTTATCTAGAACAACTGTAGGCATCTAATCACATAAAAGAGTATAGAAATTGGTTCGTTTCATTATATATATCGGTGAAAAAAATTATATACGCGTCATTATAAAGCCACAGACAATGTCTCATGTATTGTCTAAGTTGCGACTATCTTTCTTGTCTGACATTATATTTTCTATGCTGGTAGATTGAGCTGAAAATATAGTATGCGTTTCTAAATTAAAATTTAATAGGTATTACATTTAGACCCAATTTTTATTTATGGTACTTGATCACTACCCGTGTAACAGATGAGTCTATCCATTTATCACTCAAACCCATTAAAATTGAATTCAAATCCGTTAATTTTGTATCAATTCGTGTCACATAAATGGGTTATGTTTCATTTTACCAGACCCACAAATAAGACTCATATGGGACCTACATATTCGCATTCTTTGCTAGCATGGAATTGCCTCAAAATGCCTATTGTCCAATCCAAATCGTATTGTATTTTGCATACACCTTTAGGCAGCCCACCTTTGACCCCCCCCCCCCCCCCCCTCTTTCTCCCCTACCCCGGGGTTTGATGAAACCTCCATTCCAAGCTACTGTAGTCATTGGGCCTCGAAAAAGAGAGCTATAAATCCCAGGCTTGACATCTCCAACAAGGTGTTTAATGGTAGCATTGCTCTTGAACTATTTTGACAAATCCCAGTTAAACCCACACAGCAGACAGGACCTATGAGTTTAAACACTTCTATGGCGGACACAATCCATAGTCTTTATTACAAGTCAAGGGTTATGAATCTGATTCCCATTCCCCTCCCTGGTTTCTTTACAAGATTAGATTCATCATTGAATGCAGAAAATAAGAACTCAAAAAGATTATACTACGGTCGTCCAAGGGTAGAGACCTATAGATGGCCTGGACCTGAACCCAGAGGCGTAGAACCATGCCAACCCATGCTATATCCCTGTTCATTCCCCTCCCCCCCCCCCCCCCCCCCACCACCACCTTCCCTCTTCTACCTATCTCTGCGAGTGTCAAAATATAATACAACTCGTTAACACAATATGAATGGAGAGAATTTAAATTTTTTTTAAGCCATCTCATTTCATAAACGAATAAACCCAACATAATTAATAGACAAATAAAATCAATTAAAAAAAATACACAACACAACTCTTTTATATACTAATTATACACGATTAATACATGAATACAATATAACACAATCCGTTAGATACGAATTAACAAACGAATCAGAATATAGATAAAGTGTTTTTTGACATAAATTTATTAAGACCCAACACGAACTCGCTTCACTCGAGCTACCTACCTCCTCCACCTCCCAGCAGAGAGAGGGAAAGGGGGGGGGGGGGGGGGGGGGTTTGAAATAGTATCTATTTAAAGTTGTGAATTCACCATGAATTCAGAACCAGAACTTGTATAGCACCAACATACTCGTGGTTTTGGTAAACAATAAAGCACTAAGCTACTACATACAATGACACCACATTGCATCTTTGGTTCTTTGTTCATTACCATCACCCTCGTACATGACCTCCATTTGGGTGATGAGAAAACCCTGGGACAGAGGCAGGTGGAGGCTTTTTTATCCCAAGGTCCCAAATGAATAAAAATTTTGGCGATTTTACTTCAAAACTTTCTTAGCCACCAAACACGGCATTCGGGCATGAGGAGATTTTTTTTAGAATGAAAATTTGAAGAAATACAAATATGCACATGATCGGTACAGTTTTCCGGACAAAATAACAAAGAACAGCATTACTAACACTCAGTATCGTAGCCTCTGATCTACCACATTGTCCTGAGAAATCCCTGTAACACTTGTACAGGAACTGAAAGTCGGTATACAACAATTTTGGCAACAGAATTTTCGGCTGTCATACAAGAGGAAACTGGAGCAGGAACAACAGAGAGGACCTATACCAACCTGTCACTAGGTATTCAGAGCCATGAATAAGTTCTGCTTTCGAGCATGCTCTGGAATAAGCCGATGGAGAATTTCAGGAGAAATTCCTTGGAGTTCTGTCAAAAATAGAAAATGAAAAACAAAATCGGGCTTGTCACGATACATTCAAAGCTAGAGAAAGCATATATCATATCCACCGCAATCCAAAAAAACCTATGCATCAGGCTCAAATCTAGCTAGAATGCTTTAGGAAAGACACTCGCAAACATGAATAAGAACTTCAACGAAGATATAGAAACATGGATCCAGTAAATTGGGGAAAAGGTTTAGGAAACTCAATAATCAGTGATCTGAGGAATTCGTCTTGAGTTGAATTAGTACTTGTGTTTTCGTTTACTTCCTATTCTAACTGTCCCCAAACCCTCTTTCCTCGGTGCATCCATCTATAAGGTGTATTTCTTGGTATACTGCCACCAGATATGTTTTTTCCTTCTGAAAATTTCACCCATCGAAGCCCTCGGATAATACACCTAAAATATGATCAACTTTTTGGGTGAGGAGTCAGACATACCTGCGGGTTTGAAATTAAAAAGCGGAGGAAGAGGACGACCATTAGGAAGGCGGGTGTTCGGGTCCCTCAATTCATCGAAGAAAGGGTGAATGCAAGCATCCAACTGCAGTAGCACCACAAAAAATTATCATTAATATCTAAACAATAAAATTGTAAATATTTGAACACAAAAGTTAAACTTACAGCAGTGCATCGCAAATTGGGGGAGTACTGAAAAAACCTACAAACCAAGTCCACTGCTTCTGGAGGTAAACGTTTCTGGAAGACCTGGAAGATGAGAAAAATGCGCCAGAGTGAATCTCGCGGGCAATAGAACACTGTCTGAAGACAATGCTAACCAAACACAAGTTAAAGAACCAATGATACACGCACCAAAAAGACGAGAGAGAGAGAGAGAGAGAGAGATGGTTCGTTCAGATTCCTCTCAAAAAAAAGATAAATAAACGAAACAAATTAATCAATACGGCTCACACATTAAGCCAAAATGGAGCAGGATATACACACCCGCAACTAATTTGATTAGTTAACATATATTATTAACATACAGCAGTTTAGGATGATCAGAAAATTATGCAGCCAAAAATAAAACATGAGCTTCTAAGCTTCAAATTATTGCTTCCAGCTGCCGAGACCTCCGTCAATGTCCATAACATGCATCCATAATGCATGAAAAAACAAAATTCATTGCTAATTTCTGAGTATCATCATCATGCCTCACTGATCTACCAAATTACAGCTTGTCTAAAACCATTAACGCTATTGTATTGAGCCCAAGCAGTTCCTATTCACCAATGGCCCCTTCTGTTTAAACCACCACATCACCAATGTTCTAATCAGCAAAAGGTAAAACCAGGTATTTTCTTAAACTATAGAAGTACTCTGATGAACCAGTGGCAGTAAAACTTACTGCAACACATGAGATGAATGACTCAAGAGAGATTGATGTCTGACAAACTGAACACAGGTATTCATCGCGGATCAAGAGCTGGCCAAAACTAATATTTATGTAGGCAATTTCTGCTGTCATGACCCAACATTGCTTGGTGATCACTACTTAGATTTAACACTTCTTAGCGTAGAGCAAGGTGCTCCACAATTTTCAATCGATGCGTGACTGGATGTAAATTTCCAGCATTTAGAACATGCAATAGGATTTCTGTTCATCCCAGCTGGTATCTGCTCCTTTCAATTCAAGCATACCAGGAACATATAGTGGCGCTGCAGGCTTGCTCAAATGATGTTCCCATGGTCCCCATATGAAGCAGTCAAGATCTAGAACCAACTCTCGAGTGCAGAAGGCAAACATTAAAGTTTGAAGAAGATGCTTATTACTACTTATTGTCACCCAGATTATTTATCACGTACTTGTCACATCATGTCAACTTGAAAGGTACGTGTAACCTGTTTATTGTTTAGATTGCTAATACTAAGCTACTTTCTCACTAGTACGATTTTACCCTTTGGTACCCTGCTATAAGTAACATGCTATTCATGTGTATGGCTTTAGTTTCTCCTTCAAGAAAGGTTTTTGAAGAAGAAAAAATTATGATCTCGTTATTTACTTCATTCAGCACTTTCTCTTTGGCTTGCTTTTAGCAACCAATAGCCATGAAATCTGAGCATATTCTACTACAGGCTGCATGTTTCTGACCAAAATAGCATTTTGCAAATTCCCAAGCTTAATTTGAGTTGAGCTTTATTCTGGTCCACTGTCAATTGCAATTATTGGAGTCTCTACCAGGCTAAATCGACAAAGATAATGACAGACATTTCATGTAGGCTACCATTCTAAGGTCAAGTACTATGGTCCATATAAACACCGTTTACCCACACAAGACTTTAAATTCCATCTACTAGGGGACATCTCAACTCCACAAAACTTCGAGTTCCAAACAGTTGCAGTCTGTTGCCCAATACCCTTCTTTTTTCGATTGTGACCAAGACTCATAATCTGATCACATTGAGTCTAATTGAATTATTGAAAAGGCCCAATTTTTCCATTAAAGCTAGACGCTCATGTCTTTCCATAATGCTTGAACAATATTACTTTGAGCCACTATATTGTCCTCGTAAAGCCTCCAACTTTTTTTTTTTAAAAGCCTTCCAACTTAAATTCAGGACTGCTCCTTCAAGCTTAAGATCACTATGAACAGGGTTCACCATACCCAGGGCACCTTTTTCCACTGCCTCACCATCCCACATACCTTTTACCCCAAGAACTTTCAAATTCTGCCCCATAACCCAGCACGAAGGTTATATAATTTAGTACCCTATAATGTGATGTACCTAAGCATTTGAAATTGACTCCAAAGCCCCTATCATGATTCATCATGGGGCTCACTTTGCCAGCAGCTCGATTTTGTCCAACTACGAGTTTATATCAAGGACGAGCACAAACGATACCATTTAGTTTCTTGACCCTAGTGCCTCGATCGGGATTCATCATGGTGTACCGTACACTTTGCCCATATCTTGTCAATGACTAACAAGAAGTTTATAACAGTGAGGAGCAAAGATGATGTCATCACCGGAACCAACACAACACATTAAAGCAAGTACCCATAATTATCTAAATTCTAAACTTTCACTCTACCACAACAGGGCACTCTTGAGTGTTACAATGAAACAAATAAAGTGTTTCACCTTTAAAGAAATGTTATTATAAACAGTAACAGTATAAATCAGCAAAAAAAACTGAAACATATGATTGGACAAACCTTGTGCCATGGATGAGGCTTTATCTGTGGAAACTTAAACTCAGTATAGTTTGGATTCATGCATTTTATCTCCTCTCTTGTAGGTGTTCCCAAAACCTGTACAACAACGTAAAATATATGAAAATTGTAGCAAATATATTTGATAAGTTCTCTGTTCATATTCGGAGGCATGACAGGTGATGACAGGCAATTATTGGAAAATAACATTCTTACACACCATTTTCTTGATTTCTGTATTTAACTTGCTGAAAGCATTTTTTTGATTTTCTTTTTCTTTTTGTCCCCGTTTTTTTCAGTTGTGTGTACCAATTACTGCTGTTTTAAATAGAGAGTTGTGCAATGAAGACAATATGTTCAGGATTCAAATTTATTTCGCTTGTTGACTTTAAGCAAAGTTCTTAAAACATGATAAACCAATACTTAATCTTCTGGATAGAATTTCTGCAAGTTAATCTGTCAACTATTTTTGCCAGAGTCAAACGATAACCCCATGAACAGTGATCACATTTCTTCAAGTAAATATTTTCCAAGCAGAATATATAGATAACATCACCTTGATAATTTCAACCAATTGATCAACTCCACTCTCTCCAGGAAACAACGGCTGCAATGGAAGTAGATCAGACAAAAATAACTCAAAACAATAGAGAGAAGCAATTTGGGGATAAGACAACCCACATTCAGACAAAACTACCTGGCCAAGAAGTAATTCAGCCATCACACAACCTGTAGACCATATGTCTATAGCAGTTGTATATTCAGTGGCACCAAAAATGAGTTCAGGAGCACGATAGTATCTTGAACAGATGTAGGAAACATTTGGTTCTCCTTTCACCTGATGAAACGGTAAAAGGATCAAACTCAAGCAAAGAAACATAAAAACAATAGCTGTTGTTGGCTTGTCAAATTATGACTTACCAAAACTTTGGCACTTCCAAAATCACATAGTTTCAGCTGATGTGTGTGTGGATTCACCTGGAGGTAACAACTAAGCAATTTAGCTTTTCAAACCGAGATATTGATTAAGATTATTAAACTATACCAACATTAGATAAATCCTCAACATTACATATTCGGGTATGAAAACTATTGTTTTCTTCTTCCCCTATATCGCTACATGTCTAACTTAGTTGTTAAAAATCTATAACTCCACGGTTATTAATTTTTCCATCGTAGCTGATTTGTTGTTGTAAACACTACAATCACAGAGGAATCATTTCTGTATGATTGTTTCTTCAATAATAGATTCTACACACGTAGTACGTCTGTTTAGTTGTTTTATCATGTTTGCCTCCACGTTCTTGATCACTCTCAAGAGTATAAGCAATAATGGCAATGGATTCCTTCAAAATACTACTGAAGAAACCAGGCAAGACAAACCTTGACAAAAGGTATATTTTGCCTCAAAAGGAATAGAGAAATGTAAACACTAATTTGAAACGCAACTTTTAACGACTTCTTGAATTTAGTTATTGCTGACCTTCTTACAACACATTGCAACCTTTTCAATACATATATGCATCATAATCCTATTGGCATCCTCTCTACAGTATTGTACACCTTACACGAATGGTCCTTACATATACATATATCTAGGTTGGTTAATGTGCATGCATAGAACCCTCTTGTTAGAAATGTAGCTACAGATGTTTATCACATTATTTAAGAATGTTATATAGCCAAATCTACATAGTTGGCCTACATGGTACACAATGATACTCCCTCGGCAATTCATGACATAAATCAAGAATTTTTAGTTATGTTGGGATATTTTTGAGTTCCTTCATAACACCAGCAATTCCAGATTAATTGCATTTATTAAAAATAAAAAGAAAGATCAGACATTGGAATTATCTGTTTGTAGTTCTAATGACTTGGTCCAGCACACATGCAACTGGTGAAATCAGATGCAATTTTACAAATCATTCTGTCAGATGCACATGTATTGCAAACACCAAATCCCGAATTCTCAGAGAAGGAAATTCTTACAAGTAAATTCTGAGGCTTGATGTCACGGTGACAAATACCAATACAGTTATGAATATAAGAAAGTGCCCTGCATATCTGCACCCAGTGTAGAAAAAGAATTTATGAATCTGAGATAACAATAACAAGCTAACCATATACTTTTTAGCTAAAAAACTCAGAATTCTCCTGAAAATTTCATATTGGCATTCTAAATTCGTAGAATACCAGCACAGAAATCAAAAATATTGTTATCAGTTACAAAATATTACTCGTTGAGTAATCAATTCCATTGTAAACACATAATCTGAAAATGCACGCATTTAGAGGTCGAAAGGAAGCAGTGAAATATGTTAAACTGTTTCCTTGGTGGAGGTTATTGGTAGAGCTTGTCCTGCATTGATAAACTAGTATTTACTACCTCCTAAGCTAGTATGTGAGTCTTGTGGACCTCTCTTATTGTTGTCAATTGGTTTTGAGTTGTATGCTTTACGATAATACTGAGTTGCGCTTAGGGACGGTTTGGGAAAGACTCAATTTTGGAAATTGATTCCCCCTTTGTTCGTGTCACAAGTGCACTTGTTTGTCATCAGATTCTTTTGGTGACCTCGCCACATGCGAGTGGGAATCGCTTTGGATGCTTTAACAATTACAATAGCTTTTCACAGGAACAAGCATATGACAACATGCAATATAAAGTTTGAAAAGCAGATTACATACGGAAAACATGAAATACATGTATCTTTACCATAATGGAAAAGAACCACTTATTTTCTTCCCCCAACCCCCACCCTCCTTCCTTTTTTTTAAGAAGTGACAGCAAAATTAGCTCTTAACTCTTAAAGTGCATTATCTCGGAACATATGTTTGAAAGATGACAGTTACTACAAACTCTTTCTCCAAATGTCGCCTGATGTTGCTTGCATTTACAAAATGCATTCTTCTTAACATAAATATCCACGGTTTTCATCAAGCTAACACATTGAGCAAAATACAAACTGTAACCCTTGCACTCCTCTCCTGCTTATCAGGCCGACTATTGTGGGCATCATTCCATCTTCCCTTGTTCGCACGAGGGTTGTTTGAATTCATACTGAAAATAGAGTTTATCCTTCTATTCCACACTAGATCTTTGTTCTCATTAAGCTCATCATAGGACACCAGAATTATTTTTTAACAAATGTGATGTCCCACCAAACTAAGTAAGAACTCGGTAGAAGCACCAGTAGTTAGCCACTGCTCTAAAACCTAATCAAACAACCACAGCAACTGTCTGTTGAACAGAAATGGAAACATGGATTGAGCAAACAAGAGGTGAAGTATAGGTGTCATGTCCTTCTTTGGCAATGAGATCATGACATAAGTTTTGGTTGTTGAGAGAGGTCAATGCGATAGAAGAGCATAGAAATGATGGGAAGAAGAAATTAAGTAAAATAATGGATAGCCTTAAAAAATCTTCAAAACTCAAAAGTGGTAGACAAAATACCAAAAATGCCATTGACAAGGATCAAACCCCGGGAAGCATTCCATTTCAGCATTGAAGTGCCAGAATGAGCAACAACACAAAGGTAAAGAAGCAGGCCAAACAAGAGAACTCTTAAATCTTTAAAACTGACTTTCTGGAAAAACAAAATGTTTCAAACTCAAAAGTAGCAGTCAGACAACCAAAAACACCGTTGGTGGGGATAGAACCCTGGCCACCCATGTGACAGACGGAACACTCACCACTTAGCTGAATGGGCTTTTCCAAGCGTTCAACTGGAAACAGCACTCATACTCACTCCGCCTCTTCCCCCCAAACAAAACCACAGAAACAGAGGGAAATAAGCATAATACATAGGGAAAACATGAAATAACAAAGATTTGTTACTTATATTTGATGAGTCATGAGATTACAAATGGTTTTGGTAGTTTCAAAACTAAATGCAAAGATCAAAAGGCAAACCACTACATACCTGATAGGTATAAAGTTTAACATATATTAAGGGCATCCGTTGGTTCATCCTGCTGTATTGCCTAGCAATACGATTAACAGTTTCAGGCACGAATTCAAGGACCAGATTGAGGTACAGCTCTTCTTTGTCTGTTGTTGAAAAGAAGGAATGCTTAAGTCCAACAACATTAGGATGGTCCAACATTTGCATTATCTGTAACTCCCTATTCTTGTAACGCTTGTCTTGCAGAACCTTTTTGATAGCCACAATTTCTCCAGTTTCTCTGCATTTTGCCTGCAACAAGCAGTTCAAGTTATCTCAACAATGTAACCCATGGCAAATCATCAACTAATTTATCTGCCTGTAGAAAAGTGTAAAACGTATTACCTGGAAGACAACACCAAAAGAACCAGTTCCAACCACATGTTCTGCTATGTAACTGATTATCTGTCAAAGGGCCAAAAAAAACACAGCAGAAAATGTTACATATTAATCATAGAATTATATTCACCCCATGAGAAATTGTATTTCGCAAAAACTAGTTTGCTGTCAACCTGCCTAGCTTGACCATTTCGACCACCAATAGTCGTCCTAATTACATGTCCTGCTTCAGTACCCACACCATCAATTATATCTGGTTCACTATCCTGCAATACACGCGCACATATAAGAGAACAAGCATGTATTTTGGTTGGTGAAACATGAATTTAGTTGAATCTAGTACAGCAGAAATAAGGAAAGGTGCCCTTATAAAAGATCCAAATTCTGCACATAAAGTTACACGCGGATTAGTGCAGGAGATATTCAAAGGACTGGAACTCAATCAAGTGATCAATGCAACAACAAAATAAGAACCACATCAAGTACAATCCATCGAACATAAACAAGAATCCTTTAAAGCAAAGCGGATTTCAGGAACTTACTCGGTCATCATCATGGTCCACTTTGTCCCTCAATTTCATTTCAAGCATCTCCCTCCCCAGCCAATCAACAGAACTAGATGACCCCTTGAAGCCATTAGCGGTTCTGGAACTGCCTGCTCCCCCAGGTCCTAGGCTGGCAGCTGCCATAATTTTAGCCTAATGTGTATAACAGATCCTAATATGTGCTATCCTCCAAATAGTTTTCTCTGATGTGACATGGCATTCCACCCAAACACCTGTTTACCTAGTACAACAAAATCATAATGTCAAAAACGTAACCTAAATATAAACAAGAAAGACATTGTAATGACTCACTACTGTTTTGACGCAAGATACAAGATGATGAGGAAAAATACAAGAGATCAACAAAAGAAAAATGTGTACGAGCAATCAAAAACAAAACACTGTTCCCCTGGATCATTATATAAGTTCATTACAATGGATATTTACTTCTCAATACTCATTAACCATGCATCAACCATCACTATTTTGCCGCACCAGATTACAACCATGTCTTGACTACAGATATGAACCAAACAGTTTCAATATTCAGTCCAGACTTCACATTGGGTTTCAAGCTTTTGTGTAAATTTGTAAATGAACCTGTACCTTTCCTTAGAGGCTATAGCACTTAAATAAATCATTTTCTTGACGGATGATTAATTACCACAGCCAACTCCAAACAGTTAGGACCCAGATGTGTTGAGTTGTGATCAATGATTATCTACATGAAGGTTATCGTCAAATACAAAAGGTTCATTTTTGAAGCAGTGAGTGACATTGCTTAGTCAAGTATCTTAAATGTATACAAGAACCTGATTTTGTCTCCATTTTATCTTAAATCGTGTATTCTCAATTCTTTCTCAATTAAGATGGTAGTGTTTCAACCTTCTTTTTTGGAAAAAAAAATAGGGCTTCTGCTTTCGTATGAGGTAATGGTTTTCCCTATTGGAAATTTGATATTAGTAATAATCCACATATGACAATCAAAGTTTACATAAGATTCACCGTACCCTTTACCCTTTTCTTCTCAATTTTCTCAGCAATCAAACGAACGATAATAAAAGTACAATTTATAAATACCAAATACACATTCTACACAAAAGATGATGCAAAAAGAACATGACAAAATGTATCGCGATTTTGTAGGTTACATCAAAAATTTCACAAAGAATTGTAATAGTCATTCATATCTATAAGATCTAAAGCTAAAAATTATTCCGATAACTTACGATTTTGTAGTTTACATACAAAATTTAACAAAGAATTGTAATAGCCATTCCTATATGTAAGATCTAAAGCTAAAATCTACTCCGACGATTTTGTAGTTCACATCAAAAAATTCACCAAGAATTGTAATAGTTATAGCGATCCTAACAAATTTACACATGCTAATTTCACCTCTAACATAGAATATCACTGACCTGGACGAGATTCGTAGAGAATACGAAGCAGACTTGGTGCATGTCCGCCAGCTTGTAACTTCGAAATTCAAATGAATTTCACCGAAAATAGCGATCAGACCGATTTGACTGAAGTCGAGTATTATGATGAAGAGATTGGATCGGAGTCAGAGAGCGTGAATGTTGATTTGATTACTTACTTTTCCTTTTTTTTTTTCTCTCTCTATATCACTCATTCGGTGCTGTACTGTGAAAGAAAGAGAGATACAGAGTGTGTCGCTCTTTTCAATGCTCACTCGGCTGACAGTCAGTCTTCACTGACAAGTGACAACGTTCTTTACCTTTACCTCTTCAGTTCTTTGCAAATCTCAGAGGTAAATATTCACGTGGTGGTTGGACCACCGAGTGTTGGTGAACCTCACTAATCAAAAAAACAAATATCCCCAAATTTTTATGAACATTATAATTTATACCCTTAAGTATGCACCTCATTCGTATTTGGCCCTTAAGTTTTAATTGCAACAATCAAGTTCTTAATTGACCTTCAAGTTAGTTCTTATATAAAAATTTTCTAATTTCTTATGACAAAATGGTCTTTTGTGTCGAACATATAACTTTGATAAATGGGTATATCTATCTAGTGAATTTTTTGTTACGTGTAGGCTATAAAGTATTACTTTATTCATCTGATTTTGAGCTGGAAAAAAAGAAGAAGCATAACACCTGAACAAATTAATAAATTTGGATAGCAAGATTGGATTGAAACTCGGTTAAAATTTTAAGGATGTTATTGTGTTAATTCATATTTTAGGGATCAAATAAAAATTATGTGCATACTTTAATGGTATACATTGTAAATTACTCTTAAAGGTATACATCCTAAATTACTCAAAGGGCGAATTGCACTCTATACCTTAAAAAATTTTAAATTTTTTATTTTATACCTCAATGATTAAATTTTTTTACATTATATCCTCAATAAATAAAAAATATTGCAATATAATTCTTCTATAATTTTTCGTTAATTTTTTCGTAAGTGTTAATAGGTTAGTTTTCGACGGAAAAAATAACAGAAACTGACAGAAGGGTTACTTTACAATATTTTTGATATATTTCAGGTACAATATGAAATTTTAATATTTTATAATATAAATTTAAAAACTTAAAATATTTTAGAGTGCAAAATACGAAATGCCAATCCTCAAACTTTAAAATGTATGACAGATGCAGTATCAAAAATGGCAAACTATTTAACGGTGAAATTGAGTAGTATTTTAAATAAATCTTTATGTTAGTACAACTAAATCCTACTTATAACAATTAATTTCAAAGAAATACAAGATTCCATCAATGGAGTTTTTTATTTTAATTCTACCATTTCTTTTAACATTAATTATACTTACACTCGAGAGGTAGTTTAAGTGACAATATGGACGAGCTATGACCTCAAATGTCATAAGTTTGAATTTTGATAATTTTTTAGGGTTAAGGCATTAGACATTTATTCCTCATGAATATTTTAGTTTTGACGTAGATTGTCTGTCTTTGATCGAATCAAAAAGAGAATTAGTCGAAATACGTGTAAGTTAATCCAGACACTCTCACTATTGAACAAAAATAAAATAAAATTATGCTTACACCCTAATGACATAATCCTCACTTCTCACTTTTTAACTTTATGTCAGGACACCCAACCATTTTTGTAATGAATGCTTAAAAGGGTAAATAATATAATAAAAAATAGGACTTCTTTCAATTTGACCCAACAAAATGATAGGCCCTTCTAAAGTATAGCAACAACAAAAACAATTTGAAGAAAATCAAGAAAATTTTATTTTAAGACTTATGTCTCAAAATATTGGAAGATGTATATATATGAAAATTTTAAATAATAACTCAAGCCAAACTTTAGTCATGATTTTATTAGGTTTAATTATAAATAGTCCTCTTTAAATTTGAATAGTTTACAATTAATTCTAATAATTAATTTTAGATGATAAAAATGACAGAAATTATACATGAACAATTCACGTGATATCTATTTTGTTAAAAAAATCATAACTATCCCTGGTAGAGTGTGTGTGCGTGTGTGCAAGCGTGTTGGTGTTGGGTGGAGGTGAAGGTGAAGACAAACATGTTGTGTAATGTGTTGGTATTGGACTAAATGGATATATTATTGTCTTAATTTTTCCGTTTTCTTATTTTTTATGGACATAATTGGTATATCAAGGAAAATATGGAAAAATAATGTACAAGACGGAGGGTATAATAGTAATTTTATATTTCAGCCACTACTATCAATCAATTTAATCCTCTTGAAACTCGAAATGGGACATATTGTATTGCATTTGAAACCACACAGAACTGATTGTAACAAGAGGCATAGATCGAGAGGACAAATTATAATTAACCCATTTTATTATTCTTATGTACTTCTTTTAACACATTTTTTTGAAGCCAGACACTATTACTGGGGAGAGAGACGACAAGGTTCGAATATGCAACCAATCTAACGACAGAAATAGTGATCATTAGGCCAAAAGTTCCCTCTCATTCTTCTCAACACCTCTAGTAACAACATCTTGATGATTTTATTTTTTTTTTTTGATCAAAGCATCTTGATGAATTAGGCTTATCCAAAAATCACATGAAAATATGCTAAGAATTTGGTGGTCTAGCATTTGGAAATTTGTTTTTAATGGACCAAACTAACTATTAAAAGAAAAAAAGATAACAAAAACAATTTCATCATATATAGTCGTGCCCCATGTAAAATACATTTTTTTAATGTATGAGTTGAGTTTGTTTAAAAAATTAAATTTTAAGTGAGTTACCGTAGTTAAAAAATTAAAATTTAAGTGAATTATTATAAGTAAAAAGTTAAAAATAAAATTTAAATGAGTCACAGTGCTTAAAACGTTAAAAATTAAATTTAAATGAGTTAATGTGGCTAAAAAGTTAAATCGTAATATATACCGTCAAATATAAACGATTTGAGCCATTGTTGTGTTTTTTTAACCAACGAGCTTAAGCATCTCAAATAGAAAGCTCTGTTTTATTTTTATTGATTTATATCCACATACATATACAATTCATATAAATGCATTATAAAATGGAATACTTTTACATCCAATTTCGAAATATAAAATAGGATACAATGATTTCATATTAGGATTACTAGGCGTGCTTTGTGCAAAGCACGAAAAATGTATGAGTTGAGTTATTAGGGTTAAAAGGTTAAAATTTAAGTGAGTTATAATGGTTAAAAGTTAAAATTTAAATGAATTATCATAGTTAAAAGATTAAATTATAATACGAATTGTCGAATCGAAACGAGCTATGCCATTAATGTGATTTTCTATCTGAAGCTCAAGCAGGGGCTCTGTTTTATTAATACTAGTAATGCATAATATGCGTTGCAAGTAAATATATTTAAATAATATTTGTTACATTAATTTTTATTTTAATTATTGTCAAAACTAATTATTGATCTATTCTACCTTTATTTGAGTATCTAATATGTTATTTGTTTAGGTATCTCTGACCTCATAGGTACTCCCTTTTTTGTTTATATGAATCTTATTGTAATTATGCTATAAATTTATTATATTTTTTGTCAAAGAAATTGATTAAATTACAATACTATTGTTTGTATTGTAATAATATAATATTATTGTATAATTGGATTTTATTTCTTCATATAAATATAGATATAGATTGATAATTGTATATAACTATATTACTTATAAATGAGTTCAAAAGAATTTAGAAGTCTTTATAAAACAATCCAAAATAAGTTGAAGTTAAATAAGTGTTAAAAAAAAAAGAAGTATATAAGTGAATATAATTATTTTTTTTTTATAATAATTAGGGATAAAATAAGAAATTAAATTTTTTTGCAGATGTTAACATTTATAAGTAGTACAGATAAATCAGTGAAACTTTGTCAATCTATCCAATAATTGAATTCAAATTCAAATTAAAATCCAATTCACTTACAAGTAGGCCTATGAATTCTATTGTTGATTTGTTTGAAATTTGATGAAGGCAAGGGACTGTGAAGGAGGGAACTGTGGAGGTATTTTGCTGGAATGTTGGAAGCTCTTGCTCTTGGACTTGCTGCTTTAGTCTGATGGGAGTTGTTTGTTTTTATTTTGGTTTTGTTTGCAAATTCTGTTATGGAAAGGGTCTTTGGCCTCTCCCTTTGTTTCTTGTAATTGCTCTTTTGTGAATAAATAAATTTTTTAGTTTTGCCAAAAAAAAAAAATGTTCGATTATAAGCGAATTCTAATATAAACCAATATTTTTATATTCGTCGAATAAATAGATCGGATTCAATAATAAATTTTTTCATTCAAATTCAGACTGTCACAAATTCGATCTGTTGGCATATCTAGCTAGAGGCATAAAGATAAAGGTATATCTCTTAAAATTTTAAAAAACAATGGAGGATAGAGTATACAATTAGAAATCATGATGGATATTTTTTGTCATTTACTTATCCAAAAAAATAAATAAAAAGGAAAAATTGCAGTGACAATTTTTTTTAATTTATCATATCTTTAAGGACACCCCCTCTATTTTTTGAATCTTCATTGACATTACTGTCAGGTTAAAAATGTTAACTAAAATGTAATTTTATTAAATTGCCTATGATATGTTAAAGGAAATACTCCATTCACACCTCCTCTGTATAAGTATATCTTTAATGAAACTCCATCTGTTTTTTAATTTTTTTTATGTATTAAAATTCAGACTGATTAAAATTCGATTTGAGCTAATTAAAATTTATTTTTTACTTATTAAACTTCGAGTCAATTAAAAATTATATTTGTTTACGTATTAAAATTTGAGTCAATTAAAATTTTATTTGAGCTGATTAAAAATTAATATTAATCAGCTCAAATCAAATTTTAATCAATTCGCATTGAGTTTTAATCGACCAAAATTTTGATACATAAAAAAATATAAATTTTAATCGACTCAAATTTGAATGAATCGAATTTTAACAAATAAAAAAAATATAAATTTTAATTGATTTAAAGTGAATTTTAATCGGTGCTAACAGTACAAGTAGAACTCAAATCAGCTTGAATTTTAATTTGTAAAAAAAAATTTTAATAGGCTTAAATTTTGATATGTAAAAAAAATAAAATTTAATTAGCTCAAATCGAATTTTAATCAACTCAAATTTTAATATGTAGAAAAATAAATTTTAATCTGCTCGAATTTTATGTGAAAAAATTATTTCGAATTTAAGTAGGGGCAATTTTGATATTTTAGATGAATTATTTTTTGTTAGAAATGATGATTTAATGGTAATAGGTATGTGATGTTTAAACATAAATTAGAAGGGATGTCAAAATTATTTTTGATAATAGAAAGATGTTCTTGTAAACTACAAAGACGAGGACTGAAATTTTTTCTCAAAAAAAAATAGCAAGGGGCAATTTCGGCAACATGAAATACGAGATAGACAAGGTCTCAACTCACAACAAACAGGGAGGGCATAACTTCTCCAGCATGATGAAGACAGTTTTATTCTCTTTTGTCCACTTTTCCAAAGTTTTTCAGCTCAGCAAAGCCACATGGCCCCACCAAACCTCATGACCTCTCTCACATGATTCTGACACGTGGCATTTAGACAGTTTATTTTGAACCATGCCTAGCTTAAGATGGGTCCCACATTACATTATCAACGGTCAACGTCAATATAATTGGACGATCTTGGACCATCAAGATTGTTGACTTTTCTATCACTTTGTTTTCAAAACAAGAACCCTTTTTTTCTCTCCGTTATCCCTTCTCACGCCTTTTTCAAAAAAAAGAAAGCTTAGCCAAGCAACTCTCTGGTGGGTTCAATCTATTGGGTTGAGGATAAGACTGTGACACCCCAAAAAGTTTTTTTTTACTCATATGATAAAAAATTATTTTTGGTGATAATTTTTTTTTTATTAAAAAAAAACAAATGATGGGGTGGGGGGGGGGGACCATTATGTGATTGAGCTCGACTGAAATTCACACCCGACCAACTACAATCAATCAAGCCAATTTGAAATTTCAATATATACTTTTGTTTTGTTGGGTATGATGAAAAATATAAAGTTGAAATGATAGAAAGTTAGAGAGAATAATAAAAGAGTAATGCTACAAAATTCAAATAAAATTCAAAAAGTTACGATCCAAATGCATATTATCCTTGGATGAGTGAGTTCTGTCAATTTTTTCAGTAAGAACCATTTATTCCCACACTCACCTGAAGGATGATACGTTTGAGTTTTAACTTTTGAATTTTATTGGGGTTATGTAGCATTTTTTTTAAAATAAAATATCTTATTTTGTAGGAAAGGAAAATAAAAAATTGGATAAAAAATTAATTATATATGTTAAAATGTATGTTATTTATCTATATATCCTTAATATATGTATACTAAAAAAAAATGTATACTAAGAGTAACTCATGCCTGGAGACACGATGTAATGTGAATGATTTTGAGAATTATGTTGGTGGTTGACGGTTGAGTCTATTTGAGATTGTCCGATGAGCTTATTATAACCTACCATGTTTTATATTATCGATATTATATCTATATACTAAAACACCTAATAATTTGAATTTTTATCCTTAATATATTTTTCTCTAAAAATATTGCATCACCTATTTTTATTACATGTTCAATAATTTAATATTTAATTAATTTATAGTTTAACTTAATTTTTATATCAGACATTATCCATACATAATAGTATCCACATGTTAATAAAATTTTATCAATTTACATATTTTGAGAAAATTTTCTAAATATTTTTTAAGAAAATAATGGTTACAAATAAATTTTAAATGATTTAATTAATGAAATGAAGGAAAGAAAATTTTTAATTTAATATATTGAGATCAATTTTTTAGATTTTCGAATATTATATTTAATCGTGTCTCCGGACACAGTTTATGACTATTTATTTATGTGAGAGAGAGAGAGAGAGAGAGAGAGAGAGAGAGAGAGAGAGCTCAAGTCTACCCTAAAAATCAACTTCAAATATATGGTCTTGAAGAAATGGTTTTACCCAGAATAAAAAATGATTTGAACTCTCACTTCTGACATCAGAATCACAAACAACAACTATAATCAAATACAATAGTCTTCAACAATAATTGATCCAGAAAAAGATGACAAAACTGTTAACCCTAAAATACCAGAAAAGAAGAATTACTAGTCATCTATTCAACATCAACAAGATTTTTAGGTTCCAATCATACGTAAGTGCCACTAAAAGTCCCACTCATAGACTCAGAAATCAAATTCCATCAAAACTGTTTACATTTGGATATGCTTTCTCACTTCTATTCTGGTATCTGCTCATAACATTGTTTCTGTGAATCCTCTAGTCTAAAGGCTACAACTAAGGTTTGACAACAAGAAAGTTCTGAATTGAAGACAATAATGCTATAGATACTTGAATTTATAAATGTCCTAATATTTTCGACACCACGGGTTCACAAAAAAAAAAATCTCAAAGTATCAAAATAACTTAAAAGCATGTGTTTAAGAGGCACATATACTAATGATGTAAGAGAGAGGTACAGACAGTATCTATTTGACTTCCAAAATCCCTATATCAAAACACATGACAATCAGTCATTCTTAGGTTTGGCTTTAGTACCAAACTAATGGTCTTACTGATGTATGGGAATTTTGCAAGTCCAGGAAAATCAAGTATGCACACATAGTAGGATATTCAAAAAATATAGATCAAACAGCAATGTAACGGTTGTGGGTTGGGGGATGCAGAGCAATAGGTCGAAGTACTATGTAACCAATACGCATCAATGAACAAGTTACGCTAGTTGCAGGTAATGTACATACTTGGGCAGCAGCTGGCACCTATAGCTATAATTTTCAACCATTCTTATTTAATTTGTAATTCGGGTAAAAGATCCATCAAAAGGTATAACCAGATCATCATAGTCTTTGCATGTTATGCACCTCAGTATCAATGATCTGTTCCATTTATCATACATCATAGAGTTACACAGACTATAAATATCAAAGTCTACGGTTATCTTTAAAATTCAACCGAGTTACACAGATTATAAATATCAAAGTTTATGGTTATCTATATAAATTGTCACTTTATGCATAAGAAAACTCTGAAACCTGCCGACTGATTGCTCTAGAAGCTCATGCTGTCAGTGGTGTCACTGATATAATCAACACGCCCCTTCACATGTAGCCAAAGTCCCCTTCATAAGGGGGCCAAGCATGTAAATGTTTTGCCATTATCAGAGAAGACCTCTTGCTCTGGTATTGTGTTAGCTAGCAATTATCTACCATGAGTGCTTGAGCTGTTAGTACAAAACATAAGTATTTAGTTCATCAACAAAACACCCCCATTCTGCCCTTGGGAATTCCATCAACAGATAATCTTGCAGCAGGCAGACACACTGACAACTTATGCTTCCGAACAGATGGTGAAAATGAAAATAGACTTAAACCATTCCCATGACGCCACTTTGATCGTCCAGGTGTGTAGAATCACAAATGAATGCTCACAACCATCCACCCAGAAGCCCTAAAACCAAAAAAGAAACCCAGAATATTTGGTGAGTAAAAGGCTGATCAACACCCCCTCCACCCACAAAATCCTTATCCCGCCCACATGCCCGAAACACACACACATGAGAGAGAGAGAGAGAGAGAGTAAACACTGATTTAATTTGATACGTTTAAAGAGGCAGTAACGACATAACCATACAAACTTAAAGAGAGGTGAAAGAATGCATACTTAGTATTTTACTCATACATTATTAAATTAAATGAATTCTAGATGCCTTGTAAACGAGTACATTGAATTGACTCCAGCATTATCAAAATAAATCATAGATGTGCAAATGAGTAGATTGTCCTTAATATCACCATATCATGCAAATGAGCACATTGAATCACAATCTTGTCCAATTACTGTCCCATATACATTCTCGTGAAATGTCATATTATTGCCACTTCCCATACATTCAAATATGTAATCTCATTCTGAGTAAAAAATGATCAGCTTGCTCAAACAATATTTAGGAGTCAGAAGGGACAGAATAAAAAATTAATTTACATTTCTGTTTGCTCTGAAAATTCTATATAAACAGCATTGCAACACTTTCATCCATTAATCTTGGTAATAAGGTTCATGTTTACAATCTGAATGCCCCTATGTTCGCTGTACAATACCTAACGTCATCCACCCTTTGTTTGAAAAAGGATGTAAAGTTGGGGAAGTTCTTTTGGGGCCCCACGTTGAGTAGGGGGGGAGAAGCACTGCAAATAATAAAAAAAGAGAAGTACGGGTAGAGTTGACGGATGGCCTACCAAAGGAAGAAAAAGGACTGAGCAAGTCATTCAGTTTCCTGAAAAAATAACCCTATCAAAATTTTGAGAAAAACAAAAGATGCTACTCTTAAAAACCTACAAGACAAGAACACTTAGTTTCTCAAAAGTATATTTAATGCAATGACCAACATCAATGAAGATATGACTAGTTGATCCGAATATTCAAAAACACATTAAAACGAACTCACCATCGCTGTCATATTCTCATATTCCAACAGCCTCAAGAAGCTGCGAGTGTTGAGATACAGAAACTAGAGAATTTGCAACAATGGCACCACTAGCAGCAACTGCAGGGACTCCAATGCCAGGAAAAGTTGAATCTCCACAGCAATAAAGCTGTGAGATTGGTGTAGAATGTCCAGGGAAAGTGCCTTTACCAGCTTGTATAGCTGGCCCATAAGTTCCTCGGTTCCTTCGAAGAAACCTTTGATGTGTCAATGGAGTTCCAATCAACTTCACTTCACACTTCTCGCGATTAAAATTTGGACCAAGCACACGTTCCACAGCCCTCCACATTACCTATATTATCAAGGAACTCTTAAGGAATGCTTTATTGAAGAAAAATAATTAGACCAGAAGTCTACAAACTACATTGAGAGAACATGGAGATGATAAAATGGTCTATCGTTTAAAATTTCAAAAGAGAAAAAGGCTTGAGAAGTCAACAGGCAACTAAAAGGCAATATAAAGGAAGAAGTGTTCCAGCAATAATTAGAAGCTTTAGAATTTACTAATATAAGACTAATATCTACCTCCATCCATGCAGCGTTTGATCACCCTATCATAAATACAAAATCTACACAGTAGTTTGTAGATCATCAGGTTGACATATAATTATCTAGTAATTTAAGTTGAAGGGAAACTGCTGTGTATCATGTGACACACAGAAAGTTGGGCTTTAAAGACTTCCATTTACACATACAAAATCAAGACAAAATGATTTTTTGGACTCCCCACCCCCCAAAAAACAATGCAGTGGAAGAAAGAAGAAAAAGAGGAGAAAACAGGGAAAAGGTGTCAATCTTAAACTTCACGATAGTACACAGTGATTACGAAAATTTGACATCAAAGGAAAGTTTGATCAACAAAAAACATGTCAACTAACTCAACCTCTCATTCTCAGAGGCATTCAGAGTCAATGCCTTCCATCAACTGAAATTTCACTGACTCTGAACAAGCAGTCTCAATTTTTCAACCTCACAATGTACTAATTATCTGAAATTATTACTTAGCAAGGTTTTTGGTATGCACTTTGTCTAACGTAGAATTTCAAGTTTCTGGGTTGTAAAATCATTCATGAATATGACGTAAGAAAAAGCCAACAAAAAAAATTCCTGCAACTGTACCTCGGATCGTTCAGCTTTGAGCTGTTTGTATTCACTGCTTCTACGATCAAGCCCTTCCCAAAGTTTGAATGGTTCAGTCCCTGGCGTATAAGCATGTAGCACATGTTTACCAGGGGGTGCGAGATCTGGACTAAGTACACTTGGTACGGATATCAAAACAACATTCTGATCAGCATCGACCCCTCTCTCCCAATCATTCACAATTATATGATGAATTCTGAGGTCCTCACGTATACCCTAATCAATAATCAAGACATACAGATAGATGTTTGTCCAGATAATAAGAAGATAACATCGAAAATGACAGGGCCTGAAACTGAATTACAAAGTTACCAAATAATGAAGGCATACAGAAAATTACATGATAGTATCTGACAGGTCATGGATGAAACAGACTATAAGGTTACCTGAAAAGGTTTCATAGCACAGCCAAAAAAGATCCAAAGGAGCATATTGGTTTAATATTACCATTATATTCCACACATAACAACAATGATTTATTTAAATTGCCATTTTAACACACTACTTTCCACAAAGTCATTTCAGTTTCTCTAAAAAGTTACCTATTTATGTGTAATGTATCGCATATGAATGAGTAAAAAAATATGTTTTCAGAAAAAAGAGACTCAAATATATTGTTCGCCATCACCAATTGAATCATTATTATCACAAGTATGTGTCTCTACATGCAAAGCCTCACAGCAGAAAATAGTTGCAATACGATGTTAATACAATCAGCTTTGAGAAATATCCTATGAGATAGCTAGAAAAATCTTAAGCCATGTTAACAACAGATTTAAAAAGTTGACAGCGAACCTAATGCTACAATTTCTTAATCTTAAAATTCCTAAAAAATCTTAATCTTTCTGGGTGACTTAACTGCAGGGGGGGGGTGTGGAGTGAATAGGTCTTATGCACTCAAATGCAAAATTATGCTCAAATAAAACCTATCTCACACAATCACAATTAATTATGCAATTAATCAAATTAAACCCTATGTGAGCAAGACATTTGACCTAATTAGTGAATGTGTGTAATAAGTTAAATTGATGCAACACAATTCATCAACCTTATCTCTTCAATTCCCTTCCACCATTCCACCAGGGGTGAATTTACAGTGGAGGCAGTAGGGGTAGCTGTCCCCCCACTGCAAATCTGAAAACTTTCAAGGTGTAGGTAGAATATTTGAAATTTGAAGCTATTGCCCCCACTGAAAAGATTTTAAAAGGCTTAATGGAAGTTTTGGAATTTTGATAAAACCTGGGGTTCTTTTAAACACTGTAGAGTTGGGTTTAAAAAACAGGTCCCTACTTTTTCTTTTAGCCGTTTGTTCCTCTTTTCGGGCTGTGAACCTGCAGTGAGAAGTTCTTCAGTCTCGCTCGTCTCATTCTTCCTTAGCAATTCTCATTCCATCATAATATAGCCATGAGAGGTAATGCATAAACGAATAGATTAGTAATATTTTTTTAAAAATTTTTAGCACAGTAGTAGGGTATCTATTATTCCTACCTATTCATCTTTTTCTTCGCAGTAGACCATTGAATTCCATTATTTGGGGGCCTGAACTGAACGATGACTATTCCATCAATTTTTTTATTGATTTGTTTGAAATATAATTTGAAATTGTGGGAGGAGGGAGATGTAAAAAAGTTCAATTATGCAAAATAGGTTTATTGATATGCAGTTGCAGTCATGCATTGATAAATTACAGATTTAGTCAGTCCAGTCTTTTAGGATATTTAATTTGTGGAACTGAAATTAATTGAATTTTGTTATATTTAATTGGGTTACTTTTTTTGAAAATTGCCTATTTTAGTTTGTGTCCAATTGTTCCGATTAATTGAAATTAAATAATTTGGTAATGAATTATGATAGATTCAATTGTCGCTATATATAATTTTGGTTGAAAGACTTGTGATAGATTTAATTTTTTTTTTAAATTATCCTATTAAGGTTGTTTTAAATAATGAGTTTGAAAATTGATAGGAGTACATTATACAAAAAATGTCACATATTATTTGTGTTGCTATCTAGTTGACCTTTTTTTTTTGTAACTATAATTATAAAAAAATATTATTGAAAGTAATGTTAATCATATAATTTTAAGTTATAAATAAATTTTATATTGACCCCACTAAGAAAGACTCTAACTCCACCCCTGCCTTTCACAAATTCACCAAAATTTATGCACATTGAACAGTCAACAACGCAAGCCGGATTCACTTAAGCATAAAGAGGGAATAAAAAATTAAAAGTACATAAAAGATAGCAATCACACAACCCAAATTTTGTCAATCGAGCGTTGGAGGGTGCTGCCTACTAGAATTCTATTTTGCAGCCCCTAACTTGGATCTTGGATTGCTGGAGAGTTGCAGCGAGTGCTAGCCTCTAGAATGCTCTTTTCAAGCCTTGAACAATTACCCAAGTCCTGAGAACGTTAGAGAGCGCTATCCACTAGTTTTCTTGAAAAATCAATGCTGTATAACCCCCCAAAATTATTCACATAAGGTTCTTGCTTCCTACCCATAGTTAGCACGTATCTCTCCAGGTCATACTTTAGTATCACATTGTAGACCCCACCCCAACTTTATCTCCCTTGTCCGTGAATCGGAATATAGTGCATAAGTACTCTTCGATGGAGCGGAGACGAGACGACGTGGCATACTATGATCACGTACAGAACTGCTGCCCTTCGGCCTGTAAAACTCTTTAAATACCAAAGGCATGGTTCAAAGTATCAGCCGAGTAGTATTTGACTCAGATCCGTTCGAGTTATCGTAACACACTATGTATAAACTCTAAGTCTTGTATGACTCGGCCGTGTCATCTGAATTGTCTCCAAGTTAATCCTGAGTCACTGGATTATCGTCATTGAATCGGTCGATATAATTCTACGACGTTGCGATATGACCTGAACTTCTAGTCACATTTAACCTTTTTTTTAGGTCGTAACGTGTGATACCATGAAGCGACCAATGTGTCTTAGAGCCCTTTGAGTCGATAGCCGATATTGCGACTTTAAACCACCTAAAGATGTACCTAAAAAGCCTCCATCCAAAGACTCATTTCAAAACTTTGTTTTCAAAAATTAAAACTTCAAAAATATTTTACACAAAAATCACACGAGTCATGAACGGATTAAATACTCACACTCTAAATCCAATTTTCCAACCTAAATTAAACCAAACTAGGGCAACTACTTCAAGGTATTGCTTTGTAGCTTAAACTTTTTCATCATATCATGCTTCGGTCTTCAATCTTCAACAGCCTCTTGATCATGGATTTAGTTGAGATATAAGATAAATAGTGACCTCACGGAATTCGCCAATTACAATATTTTTTCCTAACACTTTGAGAAGAGTTTAAAAATTGTGAAACCATAACAAACACTTTCATCATCTCATTTTAAACCATCCAGAAGAGAGATAAATTGAAGAGGAGGTTGCATGAAACTGGAGCTGATGGATGAAGTGGATATGAGCTTCTAAAAGTTCATATGAACAATGCATATCCATCAAATTGGACTAAAAAGTCATAAGGCAATAAAACCAGTGGTTGACAACACAAAAAGTTGAGCAAATTAAAACCAGTATAACCATTAATAATTAAGGCTAACATTAGAATGTGAAGAAGGATAAGCATAAGAAAACATATGATAAAAATATACCAATCAACAACAAAATGAAAAAATAAAAATAAAAATAAAAATTGACCAAAATGACTTGATATTATGCATAAAAGACAAATTAATGCACCAATAAGGAAAGAACAGAACAATTTTAGATGAAGATGCAAAAGTGATACAGGACAAGCTAAAGAACATTGCCTTATGTGATGATAAAACACTTGATGCCATACAATATAATGGAACATGCAACCAAATAGTTCAATGGCAAAATGGCATATCAGCATGTGCATTAAACATTTGGGCCATGATTTCATTGAGATGGGTATACGGAGAAATTCAACACACATGTGGAAGGTCCTCTTTAGATTAGAAGTTCTTATAAATGCATTTGATAAAAGCACCTCATATAATCAGTGAACAAAAGCACAAAATTTAAAATAAGCAATTAACTAATGAGTTGTTGCAATGGCTCACCTCTGCATCAAAACCCAAATGAAGATGCATGAATGATTCACACTGTGGAGTCGTTTTAATCTTGTCCTTGTATGAATTTGGGATGACTTCCTTAGGTATTAGCTTCAAAGTGTCCCACATAGATGCGTTACTGACTACAGCCTTCTTAGCACGCACAAACTGAATCTCACATATTTTTTCTTTCAGTTAGCAAAAAAAAAAAAAAAAAAACAAGTAACTCAATACATATAAACATTTGTCTTTGTTTATTGCTTATGAATTACTCACTTGCCCACTTTTTAGCTTCACTCCTATAGCCCGACCATTCTCAACAACAATGTTTTCAACATGACTCCCCAGAGATATCCTTCCACCAAACTTCTGCATTCCACGGACAAGAGCATCAACAACTGCACCACTTCCATGAAGAGGATACTCTAGAGTGCAACCTGGCTTGTACCATTCTGCCAACATGTAAACCTGAAAAGACGAGAGAATAAAGGTAGAATGTTATGCAGGTAAGAAGCACAAGCAGAGTCTCACTATAAGGGTTCACCATAAGCAAATTGCATATAAGTGGTAATAGATATATGTTAAAAAGAGGCAAATAAAAGAGTGATGTTGTTCATAGAAGATATACAAGCTTAGTTGGTGTTTCAGTAAACTAATGTCAATTTGTCGGACTATCACAAAACTTAATTTGCACTAACCCAAGAGTTAACTATTTGCGTTGTAAAATGAAGGTGCCTATAGTATTCTACCATACTTCAAGCGTACTCAGTGCATTGGTTTTGATCCAACCCTAAATAAAGAAGCATGCTCTGCAAATTCAAGTGTTTCACACTCAAGAACCTGCACATACTGAGGTTAATTAGTATCTAGGTGCTTCAAATGATATATGGTTATTTATATGTTCAATTTTCCCTTAAAGACAATTAGGTGGTTAGGGTTTACTGATGAATGATTCCAATCATGTATAACAGAATTTGATCATAAGGATCTACAGCATATTTAATGTCATCAACATATTTCCAGAAATTCACCGAGAAAGTTTTTGCAAATTTAAAGCATAAAAGAAAGAGAAAAAAGAAACATATGTTGAAATGCCAAGTAGAAAGAGCAGAAAAGTAATAATTATTTTTCGTTTCTTCTTTTGCTTTTTAAAGCATATGAGAGAATTAAATCATTTGCTACATGACTGGCGTCACTCACAAACCTAAGGAAAGCTTTCACAGAACTAGATGCTAAGAATATCTAGAGAACTTAATAAAATAGTTACCATCTCCGCTGAGAGTATACCATTAGATTTCACCCCCGCGAGCAAGAAAGATAGAAGATCCACCCAATTCCTTATAAAGGGATCTTTTAACTCCAACGAGTCAATGATTTCTGAAAAGGGTCTGAGAAGCTTTGTAGCACCAAGAGCTCCCTGAGGTCCCATTTCAGAAAAAGATTTCAAGAGAGATGGGGCATATCTAGCAGCAGCAGTGGAAATAACACCCCAATCTCCTCGGATGGATAAAGGAGGCAGAGCCATTGCAGCTGCTGACAATGGAAGAATTGCATCCTGTAGACGAAATGCGTTTTTTTAGTATGAGAGACAAAGAGGCAACTATAGAGCATGTGGGATACAGCATTTGCAAATCACATAAACTATCAAGGATTCCCATAAGTTTTCCAAGTCTATTGGTATTGGGCAATTAACAGACAAATTTTCCAAGTATTTTGTGATTCTTTTAGATTTTGCTATTTCAAAAATCAGTCTCCTCGTAAACAGACTGAGATTTTTGTGGATTCACAAAACTGACCACCTCTTACAGGGGGAGGAAAACGTTTGGCTTGTTTATTAGTTTAGTAAAAGCTAGCACAACTTTTTGAAGAAGGGGGAATTTCTCAGCAAGCAAAAGGGCTTAAAAATGTTTTTTTTGAAACCTAATTCCTTAGTGTAGCATCGAAATTTGAAATGATGGTTATGCACAGAAAAAAGAAACAAACATCATGAAACTCACAAGAAGCTTTTTCCATTCTAGTGCAGCATCCGGACTTGCATACTTCTCAAGGTCCTGAAGAATGATAAGAAGTCAATTAAGCATATGCATAAATTAAGGGCCCTAGTAATAGAACCAGAGAAATTCTATTGCGATAGTACATTAATTCAAGAAGGTTAAATGTGTCCAGTTTTAGAGGTGCTAACACCGTTCTAATATGCATGAAATTCTATTACGATATCACTTCAAGTTTCCTGGCCAAATTTCATTTGCATTGTAATGATATATCACATTACTATTGTTATGGATACTAAAAGAGTGTTTCTGTGGAGTAATTGTCAACTGCTTCCGTGCCCACCAAAAGGGTGATAAAACTTTCAGGGAAATCCATGTGAAGATATGGGAATAAAAATTCACTGCTGAAGGAAAATACATGAGAGCAAAGCAAAAATCCACCTTGAAAAATTCAGTTGGTCCAATGCGTGATAAGAATTCGCCTTCAGGTAGGTAAACCATCCACGAGTCATAATTTGTACATGCAATTGACTCACCCAATGCGTCCAAAACCTGGAAAGCCAGGAAAATTTGGCAATTTCTTGTTAATCACATATGGATCTACCAATAAATTTCAGGATATCTGACTAGTTGCAACTTGCACCATCTTGGTCGAATTCATGCCAAGAAAAGAGAAATTTATGGTATGTTTTCCTCCCAGTGTTACCCCCACTCAATTCATTCTACATCAGTTCATAGACATAGTAATTAGTTAACTAAAGACAAAAACTTAGCCAATGTCCTTATTCATTGAAAGTTATTAAGTAGCTGGAGCACATATATGAATGAATTGGTATTACAGGTGAAACTAAAGAGAACCAGTACAGAGGATTAGGGTCCTATAAGACGATTTGAGTATGATAAATACAAATACTAAGCAACAAAACAACTAAGACGAGACCAAATTTATGCATTGAGTTACCATAAAGGTGGAAAGAGTAAATTACTTGTCCTAGAGGATTCGCTTGAGGACCCCTTGATTGGAATCCTGAAAATAAAGATGGGCCGGAGTCGAACTTGAAGCCTTTGATCTCAAATGAGTGAGCAGCACCGCCAGGTAAATCATGGCTCTCTAACACTAAAACATCTTGCTGGTATCTAGCAAGAAGTCCTGCACAACATAGCCCACCAATACCACTCCCAATAACAACAACATCGGCCTCTGACTTGCCTGCACAATACTCCATAGCCGTATTAAATGTTTATATAAGTATCCTCCACATTAAGAAATTTTTTAGGGAAGGTGGTATCTGTAATTGTTAAATTTCTAATGGTGATTCCATGTTAGAGTGAATTTCTTTACTTCAATTTTACGAAACAAATTCAACTGTTGAAGTAAGATTAAATTACTGGAGCCAGAATTCAACACACCACTCCTACATACATTTGAAAAACACAGATTTGACTATCCAAAATTTGAAAGAAACACTGCATTGTTGTGATCTTGAAAACCTTCAAGTATCTGTTTACCGCCACTATAAATCTCAGATTATTTATATTCAACAATTCAAAATGTATCCTTATGTCCTAGCAGATAATAATGACACAACAGGATTTATGTAGCAGTTAATACATGACTTTGTCAAGTTAATTTGAGATACTATAAGATTATGCTATAACAGAGGCAAATTATTTTATTACAAACTCTCAAACCACCTTCAAATGGAACAACTATATCCATTATTTTTGAAAGAAAACAAGAAAATAATGAAAGTATAGAAATGCAAACAAAAGAGTGTGTGTGTGTGTGAGAGAGATAGAGACAGAGAGAGAGAGACCTGGAAATGGTTTCTTTTGTGAAGTAGTAGCAGAGGGATAACCATTGGAGGAGGAGGGCTCGCTACCGTTGGAATTTCGCGCTAAAATAACGGTCCTTTTTCTGCTGCAAGTTTTGAATTTGAAACTGGGAGGTAATGAAGCTTGGAATTGGGGAAAGTTGTGTAAAGTAGCACCCAACGCCATTGAAGAAGTTACAAAGCGAAGAGAAACTCTGCGTGTGTGTGCATGAGAGAGAGAGAGAGAGAGAGAGAGAGGTGATTGAAAGTAAGTAACGGGAAAACAGAAGAGCTATGTTGCTTGGTTGTTTGTAGCTTAAACAGAGCCACGTTCCATGCCAAACCTGTTTGGACACACGGTTCAATTCACTCCCCTACATATTCTAAACAATGAATTGAACCCCGTGTCCAAACATGTTTTTTAACTTTTTTTTTGGGGTTAATTATAATCTGCCCCCTCCAACTATATCCCTCATTGCAATCAGTTCCATGTAGTTTTAAATGCTGCAATTTGCCCCCTCCAAATTTTAAGTAGATTAAATTGACCGACAACAGTGGCTCAACACTTGAAAGAACCACTAAACCTTTCGTCTTGTACATTATTTGCCATATTTTTTTTTTTGAGATACTAATTTTATCCCTGAAAAAATAAGGAAACAAAAAAGTCAAGACTAAAAAATAAAAAAATCTTTTCATCTGTCTTCAACTTCACCTCATCATAGGAAATGAAGGGTGTCTACCGAAAGGAGGAAGGAAATAAGAGTTAAACATCCGAAGTAGGCGAGAAAGAAAGGGGAAGGGGGAAGTATGAATATTTGGTATAGAGGAAAAAATAGGAATAAGAGTAATACAGGAATCACGTGAATTTGACATATTTAACTTTTATCAATTTTTATTGTCTAAAAAAAATTATTGAAATTAATTGTAAAATATTCAAACTTAAAAGGAGTTATTTATTGAAATTAAAACTTAAATGAGCGAGTTACAAACTATCCAAAATTAAAAAGTGTATTTTGTAATTATCCTTTTTTTTTTCTTTTGTCAATTGCTAATGTTCCACTGGCCTTGATAAGCAGATAGAAGTACCAAGGTATGTATCGGTATCATATATAAAATCATGGATGTATATAGAGGTGATGTTTCATTTTCTTAAGATGATGATTGATTTCACTATTGAGAGAGTGCATTAGCGTGTTTATCTGTACCTAGCTGCATTGCGGATTCTTGGCTACATGACGATGGACCAACCGGATGAGAGGTGTTCGAGAATTTTATATAAAAAAACCAACCACGATAAATAGAAGAAGAGTAGGAGTACAAGCTAAATTGGGATTACCTTTGAGGCTCTAACAAACCTTGTGTTTGGTCTCGAGAGGTGTTTTAGGTGTGGTCAAAGGCTTTATAATCTCATCGGTGAGGCCCTACCGGAATGGTCACTGGGCGTTCTTCTTTTGCCCCCACTCCTTTTTTTAACCAGCAAAAAAAAAAAAAAAACCTTGTGTTTGATGTTGTACTTCACATAATTGCATCACAATCGATCTTAGTTGATTCTTTATTATTTTACTCCTATATGACTACAGGAGAATATGAGATCAATTGTTAAGATTCCATCTGGCAAAAAAACCCTAGTTATTATTTTAAAATTTTCAATACTTATTTTCTATATGGATGCGGAGCAAAGAAGGAATTTGTTGATGAATCTTCACCTTTCATGATATCTTCTTTTCTTTTATCCTCTTAATTTTATCGGATAAACTTTTTAACTATGACTGTTAAATTTCGACACGATACGATTAACTAATACGAATTAAACGGGTTTGAGTGAGATCTTAACAGGTTTGGATGATAAACGGGCTGATACGCCAAACACTTTTAATAAATGGGTCGTGTTCGGGTGAGATCTGTCAAACCGTTTATCACACGTTTACCCGTTTAAATAAAATTAATATAATAATAAATTAATAATTATTTTTAAAAATTAGCAAGAAAAAAAGAAGTAAAGAAATCAATAAAAAAAACGAAGTAAAATAGTAGTTCAAAGACAAAGGAGAAGAGTTGGAGAGCACTTCAAAGGCAAAGACAAACAAATGTCTTCTGTTTTTGTCCGACATTGAAAAATGATGAGAGATGGGGAGGATTGAGTTGCCTATAAAAGACAATGACCTTTTGATTTTATTTTTAAAACCTTCAAGTCTTATTTTTCAAAGACAAAAGAAAGGAGTTGTAGAGTACTTCAAAGACAAAGGCAAACCAATGTTTTTTATTTTTGTCCCACATTAAAAAATGAGGAGAGATGATGAGAGTGAGTTGCCTATAAAAGACAATGGCCTCTTACTTTTTTATTTAAAGCCTTTAAGTCTTATTTTTATGAGATTTGATTTAAAATTCCTTTTTTTTTTGAGATAAGTGCAATTAGTATTAAAAAAAAATGGAGTATTAAAATTTGTTGATATAATTTTTTTAAAATTAAATGGGTTAAACGAGTCGTGTCGTATTACCGGTTTATTAAACGGGTCGTGTATAAGTTTATATGTTTTTTACCCGTCACTCGTTTAACCCGACACATAACTGTTTAACCCGACACGATTGACATCCCCTACTTTTAACGACTTAGTGCATCTACAAGAGAGGAGTTAAAATACACAAAAACTTCAAAATTTAGCTATTTTACCCTAAAATTCCACTCCAACAGCACATCTTTAAGAGTATCTCCAATAACAAAAATTATTTTAGTTACTCAAAAAATAATATAATGAAAGAGAGAAAGAGAGAGAATGAAAGAAAGGAAAGGAAGATAGAGAAATTATTATAAATTTTTTTACATATTAGAGTATCACTGTAACAAAATGTTATTATAGATATTTTTAAGAAAATCTGTTGGAATAAAATTTTTGGCCTAAATAACTAAAATTTGAAGTTTTAGATCATCTGTTAGAGATGGTCTAAAACATCTCAAATAACATTTTTGTTACAATGACACTCTATATATAGCAACATGCTCTAAAACATCTCAAATAACATTTTTGTTGCAATGACACTCTATATATAGCAACATCTATAAGTACTTTATAATATTTTCTCTCTCCTCCTTTCCTTTCATCTATTCTCTTTCTTTGTCTTTCTCTCACTACTCTAAAAAAAAAACAATATAAAAATAATAAGAAATAATATTTAAAAATATAAAAAATTTGTTTCGGTGTATATTGACAAAGTGAATATTTAAAATAGAAAAAAATTGTAACTGAACTAACTTTTATTGGTAGAGACCCTCTTATAACTCCACAAAATCATATATGTTTCCACCTGAATCTCATACCAACACCAGATCCCTAACTATGGGCTTTTGTATGAAGGAAGACCCAACAATTAGAAAGTCATAAATTATGTTAAGTTTCAACCTTCACAATGTATTAAATGTCCTTTAGTACAATTTTTTTTTTCCTTAATTTTTGTCAATGGTAGATCACTTGACAAGAATTTACATAAAAATCCTTATAACCCCTCATCAATTCATAATAGGTATATACCACTAAAGAGAATTACAAAAATATATTAGAGAATACCCAAATCTCTTCAAAAGTAGCCTTGCTCTAATCGCAACAAGTTCCCCCAAACATGTGTGCAAGTGAGTATCTGTGTGTGTGTGTGTGTGAGAGAGAGAGAGAGAGAGAGAGAGCACAAGCATTTTTGCACAGAATATGATCACCAATACCGCTTAGAAACCGATTATAGCATCAAAGCATGCACCATTTGGGCCACGTCCACAATAGCACACCAAAAGAAAACTTCTATTCAGTGTCTACCTCAATGCCCCTACAAGCACTCTGTTGTGCAACAACTTCCTAACATAACACAAAACCTAATTTGGCAGCAGTTCTCAGCTTTCTTCATCCACAAACCCAAACACAGTAAAGCCTACCTTCAACCTGGGGCATACATACACTTGACAAAGGTGTATGCGAGGCTGCTCACAAAACATATACATAGGAACTATTGGAAGCAGTACATATCCTTCCCGACTTGTATTTACAGTTTAACAAAAAAGAACATCCACCTATAGAACTAAAATATCTTGGCAACCACCCGAGTCAATGGTTAGATGGATAACTATAGCTCCAACGGCGAGTCGAACCCAATCAACAGGTCACCATGATAAAAACTGTGGTGTTATATCCGATTATAAGAATGACAACTCCTTTTCTCCTATTACTGGCCATCTTTGAGTAAGTAGGAATAGAATACCTTCATCCCACCAAACAGTCGATACATCCACAGCAGCACCGTTCAGGTAAACTGAAGTTCCTCCAAGTTCTTCCATACAAACCTTTTCTTTGCTCTCCTGCAACTCTTCTTACACCTGAGTCTTCTGTCTAGTAAAAGAGATGGCATCCAGCCACTAGCAGTTGTAAACTCCTATTTGGTAAGAGACCAAGATCCAACGAGACAAACAATAACCTATCCTGTCCAAAAGCAGCTTATGACAAGAAGCCATGGCATATTCCAGGAATCAAGTTTCACAATCTTCTAATCAACTAGCCAAGCGAGAATTGAAATTTAAACTGTTAAATTAGTTCAGATAAAAAAGAGTATTAAATGTGCTTAAATTAGCAATTTAATAATCATGGGTCATGGACAAAATTCTAAAAGAAATTGCACAAAGTGCAAATAAAAAAATGAAGCAAAAAAGTGCTGCCACAAATTATGGGAAAGAACAAAAAACACAAAATCCATTCACAATTGTTATACAATTTGAAATTCTAAGTCCATTAGGCAGCGATATATGAGGACAGAAGCACTTTACCTAGTATTCCAGTTAAAATGTCTAAGACTTGTCAGTTGTCACAATTTCATATGCAATGATAAGCCCCAACAACATGGCTTTTTAATATCACAAATCATGTGACGCTGTTCTGTTCCTTCTATACACTCCCCATAATTGGAATCAGTCTTAGACTCTTCCACACCTTCTAACACAGGCAAAAAAGAAGAAAGTACAACCCTGTTTCTAATTACTACTATTTGACAAAATCACCCATATGTTTCGCCTCTCAAAACACTCTGATGAAAAAGAGCCTGTATTTATCAACCATCAATAACTCTGACTAGACATCTGACAAGTGCTCAACAAGAGAATATTAATGTGATAATTTGTTCCTAAAGCACTATCTATCTACAAAAAAAGCAGTA